AAACGAAATATACATAATTTTTGAATAAACTGAAATTTTTCAGGGCAAATTTGATTGAATTTTTGTTCGAGGAAGAGGCGGAAATAATATTTGTGATATTATTTTTACGAGAAGCCTTCGGCTTTTTTCGGTTAAAGTCGTTGTTAATCGGGAGAATTATAAATAGTTTGAAAGTGAGGTTTGGCATCCAGAAGCTCACGTTGAACTGTGCGACGTGTGGGACTATGACTACTAAGGAAACTGCGCTGCTTTGAAATGTCGAATTTTTGTGCGTGAAGCTTGCCCACAGATCTTTCAGACCTCAGGTATATATAAAAAAGGGATGAAATTCTTGTTAAGCGTCGTTACGTCGGATTAAAGTCTCAAGGCAGTTTCCAATGCAAGATGGCGCTCCAGCTCCACCATGTTTCTCCAGTCGTACGCGTTATAGGTTGCTTGATGCCAAAGTTGCCTAAGATGAATTAGAATTTTAATTTGAAGTTTAATTTGAAGAATTTTAATTTTAAGTTGGTTTTTACGTAAATTATATTTTAAGGTTCAATGTAGGTTGTTCCATGATGAGTACTAGTGCATTAGTTCTAAAGCACGTGGTGTTAACGTTAGATAATCTGAAATACAGGGTATAAAGTTGCAATTGATTATTGTAGCTTTTCGTTTACGCATTCGGAGTTTCTAAAGTATTGTGCGCCCTAATCATGATATTCTTATTAAGTGAGAACCAATGACCAGATATGCACATCGGAGAAATTTTGGCAATAACTGATTAAAATGGAAATGGTCACGTGATAAAGTGAGAGCACTAAATTGACCACATGTATGTGTACCAGTGATGAACATGTTAAATGGGAATCTCTCTTAGTGAATCAGTGAAGAAAAATCATGACAATTTTACCTGAAGGTACACTTAATTTGTCCTTCAAAAAACAACCCCATTGCAGTTTTTCTTTGTTGAAATGTCATTTTTGTCTTTTGAACCCTCTAGGTCAGTTTAACCTTAAATGTCCCTAAAGGTAAAGGTGGGTTTTAATGCTGTGTTAATAGAGATGATAAAGAATATGTGCAGTACATGTCATGTTACAGCTGCAAGACTATGATCTGGTGAAACATGTAAATTTTGTGAGTTTCAGTTTTTAAAATTTTGCAGACTTTGCAAATAGTCCTTGATCCATAAAAATGAATTCCAGTAGTATAAAAATCCAGCAATGTAAGACACTACAGAGATTAACAATCAATTTTCCTCCACCAATAGACAGAAAAATACAATGTGAATTCAATGTCAATTTGCTTTCTTGCATTCCAATTAGCCAAATATATCTATTTGCTTCTCATCTACAAAGCAGGCTTATATATACAATTGGACAAGTCAATGAATTGGGATGTGTCAGGGTCCCTTCCCTTAAATGTTTTTTTGCTGGAACAGAAAATGGAGAAAAGAGTTCCAAGCAGAAATTTTAGTTATCTCAAATGGGAAAAATGTGATGGAGCAGAACAAAAAATCACAAAGGGATTAGTCATTTATTCCCTGGAGTGAGGGGGGTGGGGGATAGTTGAGGATCTTGTTTTAATAGCACAATAGTTGTTTCAATAGCACAATAGAATTTACTTGACCCCTCCCTCCAACCAGGCTCTTTCATATCAATCAATTTTTAGAAGTACCCCCTCTATTCTCTGTGGTTGACAACTGATCTCCTGGGTCACCCTTGAAAGCCAGGTGATCCCTCTCAAAAAGATCCAAGGCACACACCCCTCCCCAGGCAATAAATAATTTTTAGTCCTTAATCTGTTTTATGAAATTCCTTTAAGATTTTCAAGCTGTGCAGTAGTGAAAACACCATGGTACATGTAATGTGCACTTGATGAAGTAACCTATTACACAGAAAGCTTCTCAATATAAAGCTTTGTGATGTGTGATCGATAGGCCTGATGCATAATAATTTTGTTGAATTTTTCGTCATGGAGTACAAAAGTGATTGAAAAAAAATTGTGTTGAATTGGTTATTTCTTTACTTTACAGGGAAGGTTCAAATGAGTAATGGTCTGCTTGAATCAAGAAAGAAGAATTGGTAAGAGGTTTTCAAGACTTGGATTCAAATTACTATTTTTGTTTGTGATAAAGTTACCTTTATCGTGTTTTTCAAGTGTTTGTGATTCATCAGTATTGAGTGTTTCTTGTGCCGGTGATGATTTTCAATATTTGCTAGTTGATCATTGAGACATGATGACAACTTTTTCCACCAAGATCGCTGAGGCACTATGATGCTGAAAGTGCTATGGCTAACATAACCTTTTGTTAAGACTGCTCAACTCATGGAGAATTATAAATTAATTTTGTCTTTGTTTAGGGCAGGTGTTTGCACACTTCTATTAAGTATGTTTCGATGTCCAAGATCAGTGGTGCAGTTTGTAAACAAGTGCAGGATGTGTTGAACAAGATCTCAAGGTATATATATCACACTTATTTGACTATAAGCCGAGACCCTAAACTCATGAGACACGATAGTCGGTGAAAGCTTTACGAAAAAAATCGGAAAAATATTGGCTATAAGCCGAGACCACATTCAGAGAATTCTCGAACAAACTGAAATGATCGCAAAATTTTCAAAACAGAAAAGAGTTTCAATGCAGTATTGCCGTCGAAAACACATCCCAAGATAACCAGAGAGTACAGTCATCAGTGACATCAGTGAGTCGCTAGAGGAAAGATCAAGAGAATCTCTTTAATGGATAGCTCAAGATGTCAGCGAAACGCACAACGATGGGCCGTTACACTTAGAAATATCCGTGGTTGAACGAGAGACTACTTGATTGGGTTACAGGGCAGAGAAGCCAAGATTAGTTTTCTTTTTACATGATCGCAAATTTCAACACCTTAACATGTGACAATCGACGAGTTTGTTTACCAATCGTGGGAATGAGCTATTCTGATTGGTCAGTTTTGAAATTTTTAAAACACTTTCGCAAGCTCTGTGCACTCGTTCAAAACCTGCAGAATCTCTGATACTCTAGACAGCATGGAAGATGAACCAACCTACTCAGAATAAACGGCAGAACTAGCGGATGAGGAGGAGATGGACGACAAATTCCACGCCGACACTGAGGACAAACAATAAGCCGTATTTACTACGCGCCGAAAACTGCAAACCGCTCCTTTGGAAGCAACCACACATTTAAAGTCAATGACCAACTTAAACTTGTTTTGTTATTTACTTCTGCATGCAATATCTTGGCTTACAGACGAATATATCTATGTTTCCTTTGAATTTGCTGTTTCGAAAAAATTGTGTTTCGAAAAACACTCAGCTATAAGCCAAGAACCCTTCTCCGGCTCAAATTTTTGAGATTTTGGTAAAATTTTGTGAAAAAATCGCTTGGCTTGTGGTCAAATAACTACAGTAACATGCAGTGCTGTCTTTGTCATTGTCACATCATGCGAGAAAAGCTTCTCTGGATTCTTGCTCTCAATTTGCACTGAAAAAATTGTCATCAATTATCAGAATGAGTAGACCATTAATAGACAGATATGTTCACTTGACTTTTCTTATTCAAGCTTGGATATGATCTACTAGATGATGAAGTACTCCCCCCTGTACTCTTTAAGGTTGCTCTGATCTGTGACTGGTGTGTGATGACTGCATAGTTCAACTGAACATTTTTGTAATGAGGTTGACATTAGCTCTATCTGACACCATATCAGTGATAACAAGGGTTTAGAGTCAGGTAGTTAGCATGTTTAACCCAGTTTATGCACATCCTTCTTGTAATTAAAGCTATAATTGCAAGGCTCTGCTGTAAGAAAAGTTGAAGGGAGCCCAGTGCTCTGAAACTGCAAAATCCAGGGTGTCCAGCATATGCTTCTTATGAAAAAAATAAAGATTCCTGAGTTGCACAAGAGCAAAAGTAATGCACCAGGGGTCACTGAGCACTGCGAGACTACAGCCCTGAATTGCTTTTGTTTTAGGGAGTTTTTGACTGGAGGAACTTGGAAAAGTGCTGTGTGGTTTCTATTTAGGCAGGTGATTTGATCCAGAAGCCTGTACATAACATCAAAATGACCTTTAAGAATGATTGGCTTCTAATGTCTCCTTACAATATCACTTAAAGGCCATGAGAAGAAGAGAAATGATCACCAATATAGAAGCTCCTGATTGTCAAACAAATTCTTTCTGATAGCAACATAGGAAATGTGTAGAGAACAGTTGGTAGAATATTATGAATATCAATGTAAGGGTTTAAACGGTTAAGCCCCTGTTAATATGACCATATGTGTGCAGCAAAGTGCTTCAGTTATTTCTCATCTTAACTTGCTCCTGTGAGAGGCTGGGCTATCCCCATTAATTGAAAGAAAGTCTACAAGTAGTTGGTGGAGTTTACCTTAAAAAATACTCCATTTAATTGTTTTCATGTGGACCAATTACAAGATGCAAAAACTGTTGGACTAGGACTTGCGAATGCATATATATGTAAGCCCCAGACATATGCACATGCACAATAATAAATACTAATATATAGAGTAAGCCAAGCCTAAAAGCGGAGCTCCCAAGTTCGTAATATGAATGATAACATAAAAGATGTGCATTTGTCAAGACTCGCCTGAGACACCCCTCCCTTTGTTTTGATAGTCTCCCCTACCCTACCCATGCATTCTGAAGGCATGTATGTACGTATGCATGGTCAGTCACGTGACAACCAAACGAAGAGGTTGACCATATTCCAAGGGTATGGGGCTCTGCCCCACACATACACACACACTTTGCGTGCGTGAGAGCCCCGCTACTAATTATCTGACACTAACCAAATACCTAACAATATGTAATAAACAGCGCTAATGATCTAACACTATATCGTCACAGTTGGCTTATTTAGTGTGGTTTGTGATGAGTTCATAGTTAAGCTTATTGAAAAACTCCAAGTTTCTTTATTGTGTCTGACAAACAATTGCTTGCCTCATTCTAATTGAAGCTAATTGTTTTTGTTTCAGGGAGCAGAGAACATCAATGTGCACAGCTTATACAGGTTTCTATTTATGTTAGTAATGAGGTGAGCAAAAAACATGAACATTGCATTTGAATGATATTTAAGACTGTTGTAAATAATGCTTACAGCACAATGGTTAAGTCATTTGTGATCTTAAAATTTCTCTTAACTTGTTCCTCTGAGAGGCTATAGCTAGCCGTGAAGTTTATAAGGTGTTGCATTACTTGGTGTGGTTCATGATGAGTTCATAGTTCAGCTGATTGATAATGACGATAAACTTCGCCCCTATCTGAAACCACCATAGAGGTATATCTGAAAAAGTCAGAATTCCTTTCTGTGTCTAACAACAAGTTACTTGTCTAGCATGTAGGTACGTTGTCAAGACTTAAACAAGCATGCTTTTCTGAGGTGAGGGGTGTTTGATGAACTAGGTGGTAATGTTTTGTGTTGTTGAGTTTGGTGCAAGTGATGACCTCCAGAATAGGGACATAATAAAGTCACCCAGTGACTTGATTAGAAAATCTGGTTTTGCCTGATGCACCTCCTGTATTTGGTATTTCTTCTGTTTTAAAATTGTTTGATTTAAAATTGTTTGATCTGTTTGATCCTTTCGATCTTTTAAACTTACCATCTCCTCCTTAAGATGTGGCTTCAATTGTACCCTATTTTTTTAACTACTCATTTTTCTTTCTTTTTCTTTAAACATGGTATGCTATCTTTTTTCATGGAAGGTAGGAATACTAGGGGGAGAAGTTTCATGATCAGAACATAAAAGGTTGAGCCACTGTAGTGGTAAGTGTAAATTTCATTGCAGATTCCTTGTTCATGACTGGTGTGCATGAAGATTTTAACCCAGATTATCTTTGAAAGGTTTGGGTTTTTTTGAAAAAAAAAATTGAGGCTATTGATTCTTCTGGTTTTGTGAGTTACTTGTGTTAGCATGATGTATTGTGTATCGCAGTATTTTGTTTCCCAATCGTAGATGTGGCCAATGATGCATTATTTATTTGCTACTCTTGAACATAACTGATGATAAATATCACCAAAATTACTGAGGCCACTTTGTAGAGACTTTTTCAGAAATGTGCTACACTGCTTAAGGTATGCAGGTGAAAATAAACCAACTGATGGAAGCTTCAACAAGAACAAATTAGAGTTCTTGGATTTGTTGGTAGATCCTACTTTTGATACTCTTCCCTAATTTTATCCATGGGATACAAATGGCCTTGTTTCAGTAAAGTGGCCTTTACATGGTTCAAAAAAAAGTTCTGAAATTATTTTCATATTTTTCAAGGTTCATCAAGATTTTTTAACTTGATTTGGTTGTGGAAATAATGGAAAAAGGTGGTCAATACTCTTTTTCAGAATGACAAGGTGAGAAGTCTATTAAGTCAATGATCATTTTTGCATTATTATCAACCAATGCATGACTGTTTACATTGGAAAACAACAAAAATGTAATGGAAAAGGTTGTGGATCAGGATGATGTTTAAATTAGTCTGCAAGATTATACCCCTTGTTCAAACCCACAGTTGGAAAGCCAGTGATGACTTTGTATATTCAGTCATAATCCACTGATGTTTACTTCTGAAGACTACTTTGATACTGAGGCTTTCATCTAAGGAAATCACAGTTCCTAACTCTGTTAACATTGCCAAAATATTACTCCCTGTACTCATAATCTCCTTTATCTTCTCTCCCAGACATCTTCTAAAAAACCATGGTCACAAGAGCTGTCCAACTTGAAAGTCTTGCAGTGAAGACTTTGGATGTGATTTCTACTATTATACTGAGTAATTCACAGTAGTGATGAAATGTTCCAAAAAGTCTTTGTATGGTTTACTTGCTTGTGTATTGTTGACATTAGTGTACAGACCTGTCTACTTCACAACTGTGTTAATTTTCCACTGTCCCAACTTTTACATCAGTTATCAAAAGGAGAAGAAAGCAAGGGCTTCCTGCATACTTGGGTCTTTGGTGAAACAACTCGTGCGGGCACTAATTCCAGAACCTGAATTTATTTTTCCTTAGCACCAACATTTACCACTTGACTTGCAAGCTGAATAAAGATCTACTAACCATGACAGAATGGCACAGATACAAAAATATTCTAAATTATGCAGTTCTTATAATAACTATTTTAAAAATAGTTCATTGTATTGATCTATGAATTACACTTAAGACAGTGAGAAATATGTTACATCAAGAAAAATACATCTACTTGTATAATAAAGATCTCTGTCCAAGTTACTTTCAGTTACTTTCTAAAGTAATTTATTACCAGGTACAGCATTACCATTTGTAACAGAAAAATAAATTATTTTGATCATGCCACTTGACACACCAAAGCTATGGAAATAATCTACATGTAAGTGTCAAAGTCTGATCAAAGATTCTTAATCAAAGCCTATGTGGTTGGCTATTGAAAAGTCCAAAATTGGAAGTGTTATTGGCTTTTGGCTGGTTGTTAAATAGCACCACCTAGTAAATATTAAATATCCACCCCAATATTACTCTTTACCTTAAAGATTTACAAGAAACGTAACTTGGTCATTGTTGTGATGATTAATAACGATTGACTAATTGAGCGTCAATGTTACTATACCATATTCTGTTACCATTTTTTTCTTTTTTGGCATCGTTTTATGTAGGTTCTTTTTTTTTAGTTGTTTTGTTTTGTTTTTGCTTTGTTTAGCATTTTGTATCTTTATTTTTTGGTTGTTTCTCCCTCCTTTACTCTTGTGGCTTTTGTTAGTATAAAGTATAAAACTGCAATACGAAAGATGCCAATAGGAGAATATCAATATTGAACATGTCCCTTTAAAAGAAATAAGAAAAAGCAGCATAATATCATGCAGGGCAATGTTTGCTCTGTGAAATGTAACATTTCCATTTGCAAGTCAGTGTGACTCTTTGACTGTCTTTTTAACACAGGGAAGATTTCATAATGTTAAAAGTTTGCCTGCAACCTTGCTTGTTGTAAAATGTTGTTCACTATGGCTTTAAGCATAATATCATAGGAATGAAAATTAATCACTTAATTTTCTGTGGCTTACACTATACTGAGACAAGAAGTCTTTGCGCGGAAGTTACATATTACTGTTTCATAAGCCATAATCATTAGTATGACCTGCTTCGTAGTTTCCCCTTGCACATGCTACAATAGACTAGGTTAAAAAGTAAATTAACTGCAGATTACTGCTTCGGCCTTCTGGGCCTCATCAGTGCTGATGCTAGGATGGAGGAGAACCGCCAGGGTCACCCCAAACGACCCAACATTTGTGGTATCGTCTAAGCCATGCCAGAGCGCCCAAACTAGAATAAACCAGTGAGCATGCGCTGTACAATGTTTTTTTTTCTGGCAGTTGATAGATTTAAATGCTTCAGGCTAGCTAGTTGCTTAATGATTTGCTGTTCCAAGCTTGCTGCATAATTTTCCCTCATTGTACAGTCCGTAGATCCCATGGCCAGTTGCAAATATTGTTGGCCACATCATACCTGTTACAAGCAACAAGAGCTTCTACAAAGCCTCTCATTGAAGGCACTGCAGAAGAGGTGCTTAGTTTACCAATAAGACTCTCTGTAGGACTTCTTCCTGCTTTGTAGTCAGTTTCTATCAGGTCCAAATCTTCTTCTGAAACATTTAAGATTTGCCCAACAGAGTGCCAATTTTTTTTGCTCTGTTTCTCCAAGTGATCCAGCTTCTTCTGCACATGATGCAACAGTATTTGGTTTTCATGGTTATGTAGCTGTGACATTTCAGAGACTTTACAATCTAAGAGTTCAATGGAAAACTGAGTGTTAATAGAGTACTGGCAATTGAGCTAGAGTTGTGACATGAATTGTTCCTTTTTTGTAGTAGTGGAAAAAGGCATACCCTAATTGACAAGAATTCTTAAGGAATGCCAAGAGTACAATGTTTGGCCAAAGGAACTTAGTCTTGATTGAGTAGGAATGATTCATGAATTGAGGGGATGAAATTTCTTCCATTTTACCACTCCGTTCATGAAACTACAATTGTGCATTTCATCACATCAAATACTAAGCAAAGAGGAGGGGAGTGCATTTTTAAAAGAGAGGAATTCAAAATGCAGCATCAGAATGACTAATGTACACTCTTCACATGATCTGAGTTGTGTAACAATAAGAATAAACGTGTTGAACTTTGCTTACTTAAAGGCAGGATTTACACCTCACCTGATGGAATCAGATCAATGTTTGGCTGATCTTGTCTAAGCTCACCAGTAAGAAACTCCTTTTGCTCATCAGCTTCCAGCACATCTGAGAAAGGAAAAAAAAAAACTGCTTGGTTATCCTTTAATTCTTTAACTACCAGAAGTGACTAACATGCAACTTCTTCCTAGAACATCTATTTTATATTCAGCAAATTGGTAATTAGAATATTCAGGTTGAAGTTGTTATCTTGATCTCACAACAAATTCTCAGAATGAAACCCCAGGGAAAATGTGTGGTGGCTAGAGGGGAGAATTAACAGTCATCTTGGAGGTTAAAGAGTTAACCCTTCGACACCCAAGATCTGATTGTTAATATCTCCCCTCGCGGAGAAAAGTTTGGTTAAAGTCTGGATGAAATTAGTTAATTTTCTCCAAAAAAGCTTGTCAGTAGAATACACAAAACAAAGATTGTGTCATTTGTGATTACCTTCTACAGTTTCAGTTGAGCCATCTCTACCATCAGAACCTTTCATGTCTTTCAGGGGCATACACTCGTTGGGATTTGTAACTGCAAAATAACATTGCTGTATTATTGTACGCTACACTGAAAGGTAGTATTAATTGATTATTAGTCATTAACGTACACCCTTCATGAAGCCAAAAATGAATTCAATAACATTAATGAGAGGCACCCACCCTGGACCTGGCCAAAAAAGGTTCCCTACCAGGGAAAAAAAAAAAAATGACAACAAACAAACTAGCACAACCACTGGGAGAAGTCAATTATGGCGCAAACCAATGAATGTGCCCAAGTGTCATTATTAATTTACCAGGGAAAGAGTTGGTTGTTGGCCTTCAGATCAAATTTAATTTGCAATTTGTGTACATCTGTGTGAAACCCACTCAACAACAAATGATAAGAATTGATTAAATTACCCAACTTTATCAAATGTTGAAATATATACTTGGGTAATTAAAGAGAGAAGAAATGTAAATCTTTCTTACCGTCAGCAGTTCACTCATATGTTTCATATGTTTGTTGTTGTTCGA